CTGTACTGGAAAGAAAGATATTAAAAGTAATTATATTCTTTCCTGTGTGCCTCTTCCTTTAAAGCTTATTATATGTAGATCTATAGCTTCCTTTGTGAGAACTGCACACCAGGCCTTTGTCCACAAGCTTGAGGATGGAGATTTAACTGGTGGGGCATCACTGGGCTGTGAGAAAGAGAACTCAGCTGTGGACCAAGGCCAGAGCCAGAGCCAGGGTCAGTGCAGGGGGGCCACTGCCCGTGGCGGCTGTGTTCAGGAGCTTGTGGCCGATTGTGCAAGGACCTCTAAGCAGGACGTCATCTCCGAGCCCAGGTGAAACCAGGGTGTGATCACCTTGTCGCCAAAGTAATGTAGCTGGAAGTCTCGCCCTTCTCAGCTATGTAAGGCTCTAATCTTTAAAAGGCCAGTACTTGCCATTCGTGAAATCTCTTGAGGCTGGGAGAGCTCTTGAGTTTTGGGGCCACATGATTTTGACTTTAGTAGGAGAAGTGTGGTTACAAAGTGTGGAGAGACTTCAGGGTCCTTCAGATGTCTGTATTCTTTGGGAATGAGGGTCTTCTGAAGTCTCTCCCTGTAACTAGGGCAGGCCAAACCTTGTAATCCTGCCTCGTTTACTAATTGCTCATAATAGGCCTGTGACAATGTGACAATTTCTCACAAGTGTAAAAGCCATTAGAGGTTATGAAAAGTAAATAAAAATTATGTTATTAGCTGTATAAATGCTGGTGGCCAGTAACTATATATGCAGTCACACACACACATACACACAATCACATATCTAGTACTCCCTGAAAGAATTTTACCACTTACTTGAAATGACAACCATGGTAGAAAAAACATATTTTGATGAATAACTGTTCAATCAGTGGTACAAGAAGTAGGCTCTTTGGGTTAAATACAGAGTAGAAATATTCAGGAGAGACTTCCTGGATGAGGAGGAAGGCCAACTGGATTTTGTACACTGAATAGGAGCTGGAAAATCAGATATGTCAGCAGATGTGAAAATTCTAAGACCTAAGGCATGGAGGTATAAAAGCCCCATTTGTTCAGGATTTCAGGATTTGTCAAATCAGGGATACAAGGGTCAAATCAGGGAAGAGGTAGCCCTGGATAGGACGTCCTCCTCTGCCTGCCCCAGTCCTGTCCAGCGATAGGTAATTGAAGACTGTGACCTTCCAAGCCCACCTGACTCAGGCCATGGGACAGTAAAAATCAAGTCCTCTTCCCTTGAGAGGGTCTGGAATTAGAGTTTGGCAAAGGTTTGAAGGTCATGTGGCAAGCCAGGGAGCTACTGTGTAGATCTTGGAAAACGGGAGTGTTGTGGGCTCAGATTAATGTATTCACCATGTGGTTTCTCACTACCCTGTCCCCAGCTGGATGACATATTCTTGAGTTGTTTTCTGCAGTGGAGAGAAGGGAAATAGAGATTTTCTTCCCCTTTCGCATACCCCTATTTAGCAACAACTTCTGATCATCAGCTTCCTATGCCCCACTTCCTACGTAGTCAGACATCTGCAGGATGCCAGCCTAGTCAGGAGAGCAGGTGTCATCTCTGCTTGTGGGGCAGAAGGAAACTAGTTAGTCTGTTTGTTTAAAAAATGAACTTACGCCTCCGATTTTCTGGTACAGAGCTCCTTGGTCCAAACTCCTTCGTAAATAATGAGTAGCTCTCTGCCGAGCAAGATTCTGTTCTGCACAGGACATTTCTTCAGTTAATGAAATAGTAGTGGATGCTTCTGTAGAGACTGCTTTAATGATTTGGTCAAATAAGAGGAACATATCACCGAGAAATGCCCCCAGTGTGATCAACAGCATAAAAGATCACAGGCCTAGGAGTTCTGAAACCAGAGCATTCAGATTTCACCTCGCCTGTGTAAAATAGGCCTAGTCATTAGTTCCTTGAAAAATTGATTTAATGATTAGAAATCATTAAATACTGGCTCATGGACATTTAGTAAAGGGTAGATATCATTAATACCACGTACATTTCATATAGGTTCCCCCTGCTGAGCAGGGGGTTTCCTGTGTTGCACTGATGCCATGAGATGGTTATAAATTAAGAAGGTGGCTGCAGACGGATGCTAACTTCCTTCAGCAGCGTTCTCTGCAAGCAGTGCCTACCCAAAGCCCGCTCAGCAGGGTCAGGCCTTGTGCAAACCCAAGCTCACACAGTCAGTGACAAGAAATCTTATTTTTGCTTTGCTGAGAAGGTGGTGCTAAATGCCTTCCTCCATTGGGAAATCAGTTTCACTGGGTCGTAGATCTCAGTCAGTGGGGCCATACTACTACTTTTCTAAAAGAGGCATGTTTTTGTTTTTATTAATCATGAATCTGACCCAAGACTGGAAGAATCTGTGAAAGAAAATAACCAGTTCATTCTCCTTCTTGCCATACCTATTATCTTCTAGAAATTAAAAGTGAAGTAGGGGTTTTTATCTTTCAGTATGGAAGCCATATCCTCCTCTAATTTAAAACCAGCAGCTTCATGTCCTTGGAGACCTGCCATATATGAATTTCTGGCATAAAAGGAATTCTCAAAGATTTGTGTCGGCTGTCATTTAGAGGGCAAAGCAACAAAGCCATATTGCCAAGAGATGCCTCAAATAGCCAAGCATATAATTATGGGGCTAGATACGTCCCATCACAAGCCTGAAAACATGTCCGTTTTGGAGTTGAATCCAGTATTAAGGACCATTGGTGTGGATGCGGAAAGGTTTTTGTTGTTGCACCGGGTTTCTGACATACAGTGACGCACACTTTCATGTAGTGAGACACAATAAAAGTCTCAGCATGAAACAGTTATGTTGGGTGAAAAGAGTATTAGTCTTGGTAGTGGTACTCACTTGCTTTCTAGAACAATTGTCTGCAAAGTTTCTGTAAACAGCAGTTAGCAGTTATCCTTCATACTTTTGAAATTTGGCCACCCCATTTTTCTTTTTTTTTTTTTACTTGTAAGCTTCTTACATGCAACGCTGATTGTATAAAGGGAAGTGCATCCTCATGGAGCACCGTGATGGGCAGCAGTTACCTCCATGCAGGTAGGAGGCTGCCGAGAATTGTGGCCCGTTTTTTGCTTTTGCTGAGTCTTACTCTACACCAGTGACCAGTCAGCCTCTAGGGGGCAGCAGAACACCGACTAAAACCACCGAGCCCAGGGCTGCCAGGCTTCTCTGCTTAGTATATTGCCCAGCTCTTCCAGGTCCATGATGCAACACCCACCCTTCTCCCTTTTGCCTAACAAAACTCATCCTCTAGGCCTTGCCAGAGTGGGGTCCTTTGCCCTTAAGCCTCCCATACCCAACTTGCCTCCACTCACCCCCTTTTCTCCTGTACCCCCTTCAACCTTCCTGGTCTGCTTTGTACCACATCACGTAGCTTAATGACGGGACTTGTTTGCCATTGTTTAACAACCAGCTGTACCTGTCCTTTGGGCAGGAACAATGTTTTATGTCTCTGAGTTTCTCATAATGCCAGGACGTCCCTGGAGGCCTAAATAAATGCTCAACAGCAGATGGAGGGTCCCTTGATCTGTAGCGAGTGCTTGATGCCCATTTGCTGACTTGATGGTCAAGATGGTCTTGCTTTTGTGCAAGAGAAAGTATTGTCTCTGCTTCACATATTTCTGAAATGGTTCTGTTCTCCTGTGCTCTTTCTGGTTTGTTTCAGACTCAGGTGTAAGATAGAGGACTTTCAAAATGAACCCAGAGGATAATGGATAACATTAGCATTGGTGTCATGGATGTGGGGTTGCACCTGGACCCTTCCTCTTCCCAGCAGTTGCCTCGGTCAGGTTAACTTCTCAGCCTCAGTTTTGTCACCCATAAAATGGGGCTATTGAAGCTGATCATATAGCTTATCATCTAAAGTGGAGCACATCTGAGAGTGAAGGAGGACAGTTCAAAATGCTTACATAGTCTTTTGAAATATTTATCGACCAAAGAGTGGTTTTATTTTTATTCTTTTGGCTTGCCTATATATAATCGTTCTGTTAGAAAATGATTTTCAAAATGACATTTCTTAGAAAACATTAAAATAATATATAGGCAGGACAGATTGTAAACTGGTTGGCACATGGAACAATAGGTGTGAATCGTATGGTGCTTCTAAGCTTCAGGCCAGGTAATGCATGTAAGGTGTCCAGTGCTGTGCCTGGAACACACTGTGTATTCGGTTTCCTTTTCCCTCCTGGAAGAAGGCTGGACAAAGAAGCAGTGATGAGCAATAAACAAAGGCCTATGGCTTTTTAAAAAGGCTGCTGCCAGGAGAGTATGCCCCCAGCTCTCTGGACTCTAACAACCCAAGGTATCATTTTTGTCCAACTCTAGCAGGAAAATACCGATTAAAGAACATAGTCTTGCTTATATGTAGTCAGACAGCTGTCTTAGCAATAGAGAACAAACCCAGGGGATGGCTATGCATTCTGGATTATAATATGTCTGACCTGGGAGCACAAAGCTCTTTTCTTCACTTGCGAATTCAACTCCTGCTTCTGGGCAACTTGGCTGAAAAGCTGGGGGATCCGGCCGTGGCACCCCTCCTCTGCACCCAGCTCCCGCCATTTAGGGGCCTGATTTCAGCAATTGTGCTTAAATATTGGAGTCACCATAAACTTAATTTTTGAGCTGTAAAATACATACCTGCTTGAAGGTTGGTGCCCCCGTAGAGCCAGAAGCTTAACTGCCGCACTGTGACTGGGCTTCCAGGGTTGGGTGCATCCCTTTTAGAAACTCTAAGTTCATTACTCCTCAGCCTGCCTCTAGTAATGAGAGCTTTTTAGACTGTGTATTCATTTAACCTAAAGCTCCGCAGATCTGAGGCTTGTGTTTTTGCTGGCTCCTTGTGTGATGGAGAATTCAAGGAGGGCTCTGTGGCCTCCTGGAAGTAGAAAAGTTGCTGCACCGCATGATTAGCAGCTTGGGACAGGAGAATCAAGCCCAGGAGCAGGTAGTGTGGCGGGGACAGCCCTCCGCATGGCCTCTAACAGCCTCTTCTTTCCCTAGGTATGTGTATATCCCAGCGGGCGGGTCCCAGAATGGCCTGCTGGGGACGCTGTTCTCCACTGCAATGACGTTTGCATTTGTGAGCTTCTGGCATGGTGGGTATGACTACATCTGGTCCTGGGCAGCACTCAACTGGCTGGGAGTCACCGTGGAGAACGGAGTCCGGAGGCTCGTGGAGACCCCGTGCGTCCAAAACAACTTGGTGAGCTGGGTCCTTGTTCCTGCGGTAGGGGACGTCTGAGCTGGGTGGACTAGGTTTGGGAGGGAACACACTTCATCACATTCACGCCATCAAGATCCATTCCCACTAGATTGGTTCAAAGCCCATGTGCTCAGAGGTAGGATGGCTTAAAAGGAGGCTTCTGTAGCTATTTTAAAAAAATACATGTTTAACTATATGAATAATAAAAAACCAATAATATACAATGTTTATTATATAAAAATTGGAGTAGTCATGCAAGAATAAAAGAAAAGAAAAATACCTCCTCAACCGAAACCACTGTTAATATCCATTCTTCTAAGTTTTTTCTAAAGCTATACATGTAAAAGATAACATATAAACACATGCTATTATTCCAGAGATACAGTTGTATCAGGACCATCCTTTCTGTGTCACCAGATCCATGTCTAACAACTTTTTAATGGCTGTATGGAACTCCATTATATGGATATAGCATAATTTATTTAATTAGGCTCTTATTATTACTATCCCAATCTTCTCACAGTTATCAATTGCATTGAGGTGACCGTCGTCACCAGGATGAATTCTTTTATATGAAATTGCTAAGTTAAAAGTTTTTCTCTCCTTAAAGGGTTGCCATTGCATACTGCTTAACTCTTTCTTAACTGCCCTGCAGACAAAGTGTGTCAATTTACCTTCCTACCAACAGTGCGTGAGATGCCCTTGCCAATACTGAGTGGTACTGGTGTTTTTAATCTTTGCTACTTTGATATATATTGTTATAGTAGCATAACAAACAGCTAAGGGTTTAAGACACATTCCAACTCAGCAGCACAATGATTTTGGAAATTAAGTACTTTTCTTTGCACACGTATTTTCAGTGATTTTAAACTATGAGCAAACATTTTGCCATGTAAAGCTGGTATAGGATGTATTAGAATCTTACAGGAAATCTTCAGTTCTGAATCTCCACAATATTCTGATATCCCTGAATAAAGTAACTAAAAAAGAAATGTACTGGCATCAGTGCTCATGGCAGACGATAAAACACAAGAATTTACTAGGATATGATTAACGTGGCCAAATTCCCCTAGTTCACCTAAAGCAAGTATGTTTGAAAATGAACACCACCAAAATAGAACACATTTGAGTGTTTTTCCATAAAGATAGCCATAGCACAAGTGGACGGTCATTTCAATAAAAACTGGTAAGAAACACAGCAAAGTAATACATCCAAGGAATTTTAATATGCTCCTGTAGGTTTAAAGGTAAATATTTTAATCCGGAATAGTATCCAGCAATCAACAGAAAAGAAATGTCAGTGAATTCTAATAGAAAATGGAATTTCAATGTAAGTCTTGGCTGTATAACACAAAATAAAGCCATAAAAGCTGGTATCATAAAGTTTTCAGCCCTCATTCTCAAATCTGAGCAGTCTTCCCCAAAGCTGGAAACCCAGCCAGCACCTGTGAAGGCCAGAGAATTCTTTCAGCCCAGGCTGAAGCCCAATAACACATTTCCATGTTCCTTCATGAAGGGTCTAAAAACACTGACCTCAAACTTGGTGTTAAGCAATGTTCTGTAGATTTTGAACTATGACTTATCTTATTAATAAATTTTAAAAATCTAAAATGTTAAAGGAGTAACCCAAGTGGTGCTATGTGGCCCACGGCTTGTTAATTTTGGTCAAAGTGAAGGAAGTCAGTGAAAACACTTATAGGATGAAGCACTTGAATGTCAGCTCTACCCCATCACAGCTCCTTCTGGGAGCCTCATGTGTTTACCCCATTCAAGCTTTCATCCACTTCAGACGCTTAGGCATGTAGTAAGTTCTGAAAATGCAATTTTGGGGTTATATATGTCTTGTATATTGCAAATATGGTGTTTAGGTTGCATATTTATTGGGTAAGGACATAGTTTAGAAAACCTGTCTTATCACCTGTCTTTTGTCCTGCCAGCCTGGTAGCTGCTTATGGCTGTCTGACCTTGAGTCAAAGTCAGGATTCCGTCACTACCTAATGTTGCCCATGGTTAGCTCAGTGTCTGAATTAGCATCAGTGAGTTTGTGCACAATTAATGCTTCCAAATTGGGAAGATTCTGTCTTTCTTCTTCCACTTGTCCACCCAAGGGCTCTTCTTCCATTAATCTGTTTCTTATAAACTTCAGCACAGATTCTATGTTCCTTCAAAAAGAAGGCTGACATTCCGAAGATACACAATCTTTTGAATAAAGCACTTGCCCACTTGGGTTCCCCTCTTCCTTCCCTTTTTTGAATCCGTTTCCCATGATTTTGTCAAAATCCAAATAAAGACAATGCCTCCTTGGCACCTGATTTCATCTAACGTTAGTTTCCCCAGTTGATCTGGTGGTGTTTTTACAATGTGAATGCAACTCCCGAAGGCCCTCTTACATGCCCTGCAGCATTCATTCTCCACCTGTTTTTGTAAGATAGCTGGAAAGATAACTGAATAACGAGGACTGGCATTCCTTTTGTCCCATGTCGTCTTCACTTTCAAACTCAAAGCTTTGTCTGGGGCACAAAATACAGTAGGATTCTATTTCTCGGTGTTGATAGAATGGCTACCGAGCCTGTCACCAAAGGACCAGACAGACCTGAGTGCTGTGAATAGGGAGCCCTCTGATGTTCTAGGAAGGGCTGTCTGATGGGGTTTTCTGCAATAATGGAATGTCCATTGTTCTGTGCAATCCAGGAGTTACTGGCCACACTGAGCACTTGCAATGTGGCTAGTGTCACCAAGAAGTTAATTTTGAAATGTGTTTAAATGAATATTTTAATGAATTTGAGTCTAAGGAGCCCCATGTGGCTAGTGGCTCCCACTTAGAGCAGTACAGTTCTGGAACATACCCGCTTTCTAGAAAAAAATGAAAAGAATGTGGCGTGTCTGACTCTGCTCCAATTTAGACTGATTTTCATTAATGATGTGGTGTGCAAATGGCTACTGAGCCTGTCGTAAGGACCTCACAGGTATTTCAGACTTAGCATTGTAGTACCGAACTCATGCAGCCCAGGCCCCAGTAATCACAACTAGCTCCTTTCCCTCCACCATTCTCTGTTTCCACAAAAGGCAGCACCATCCATCTAGTAACTCAAGGCCAAGAGCACCATGTTATCCTTTGTGCCTCCCTTTCTCTTAGCTCTACCTGCACGCACGGTACATTCCACCTTCTGGGGAGATCTTCATGTTTTTACACTGTTTCCATTTCCACTGTGTCGTCCTAATCCAACAGCTCTCATTTCTTGCCCAATCCACCAAGTAGCTTCTGACTAGTCTCCCTGCTTCCCTCTTGGTCTCTTCATTCCATTATCCTCACAGAGCTGAGAGATGCTTCCCAATAAACACTGAGCCATATTCTTGTCCTCCTTAAAATCTGTAGTGGCATCCCATTTTCTGGCGGCTAAGTGCACAATATTTAAGATGGCCTATGAGTCCTTACCTGATCTTGCTACCCTTCTCCACCCTATCTGCCCTATCCCCCTTCCCACTCCGTTCTTCTGTTCATTTACATACCTGGACCCTCCACCTCAGCTCCCCTCCTTCCATCTCCAAGGATGCTCTCTCTCTCCTTTCCCTCTACCCCCATCCATCCTTCAGATTTCAGCTTGAATGACACCTTGTTTAGGTGCCCTTCACTGAGCACCCCACCCCCCCGCAAGTCAATCAGGTCCTGATTTTAACTCACTTGGGGCACTTATACATGGTCTCTTCTGTCGTACTTATCACAGTGGCAATGAAATATTTTTATATAATAACTCATTTAATCTTTATCTCCTTTGCTGAACTGTGAGCCTCGTGAGGTCAGAGATATGTATGCTTAACACTTTTCACAATACCTGGCACAGAGTCAGCTTGCAGTAAATACTCGTTGAGTGAATGAATGATATTTTCTGATTTTACTGAAGGGTGTATGGGAGGAAAGAGGCTTATGCAGCAGCTAAAGAATAGAGATGGAATACTGGAAGAACTTACTGAGCCTGAGGCTTGTTGAGTGTGACACAGGGAGAGATTATTTTATTTTGTAGCAGGGTAAATCCTAATTGGTCTAGTGACGGCAAAATGCTATTTTAATGCTCAGCACACAGAATATATATAGGAAAGAAATGGGCAGGGGGGAATTAGCCTTCCTGGTAACCTGCTGCTTCGTGGTGGGTGGGGGAGGCGGGTCACTGGTTGTGACTCACGGAGGCACAGAGCTGCAGGAAGCTGACAGAAGGCACTTTCACGGAGCACCGGAGCCCGGGGTGGGGGGTCAGGGTGGGGGTGGGGGTACTAAGAGGAGTTACTGCTGAAGCACCACCCCTTCCCTCTGTACAAGTCCGCTTGAATTTGCATTCAGCACTGCAATCTTTTAATAAGTGCAAACATTTTGGGGCATCAGTAGAGTGACACTACCCGCCCGTTCTCAGTCTGATGTCTTCTTGGAAGGCAGGCACCTTCAGGTGGCCTGTCACTTGTTCCTACCCAAGAGGAAATCTGTATCCTAAAACTGTTCACCCACTCCCACCCCTGATTTCTATTTTGTTGAATAATTTAAGTAAGTCCTTCTCCCCCAGCCCTTATCCCCTCTGCTTTGCCCCAGGAATGTCCTGCTGAGCTGGTTTATATCCTCTGTGAAGCAGCAGAATGTCTATTTATAGACTTAATTGAGGAAACGTGCCTCTGGTGAAAATCGCTGAGGGTCAGTCTAATGGATGTGGGAGGGATCTGAAGCTCTGGTGTGTCAGAAACAGCCCCAAGACACTGCTCTGTGGTGACGTCTGTTCAGCTTATCAGCTGTATTGATCAGTTTGATTTCGAAAAGATATAGGTACAGAAATCTCATGAGTTTGAGAGACCAGTCAGTTTAAAAGGATAATCGATTGCAAAATTGTTGACGTGATGCAGCCAATTCGGTGAATCCTGACTCACCAGTTCTCACCCATTGGCAAGGTGTACATGTCAGCTGGCCTGACTAGAAACCCTTTCCTCTACAATTCAGTGATCACAGCCCCAAGTCACTC